CGTCCTTGTGCGAGGCCATTGGGCATATTCTTTCATGTGGACCACAGTGCTGTGCTAAATTTGTGAACATAATTGATCTTTTTTGGAGGGATGCCTGTGCCTATTAATTTTTTTTTTAAAAAGCATACTTGGCAGAAAATGTCATCTTCACGTTCATTTGAACACAGATTTGGAAGAATCAAAACTTTATCTTACACAACTTGAACAGTCTCAGACCAGAAAGAACAGAGAAAGGCAATTTGATGGCTACTAGTCAGGGTACTCCGAGGAGAAGAGTGTTGTGGAAGTGCTTAGTCTCAGCTGTGGTAGGTAATTATGTTGCACTAAGGGAAACAGCTTGACTAGAAATAGAAGAAAGGCTGTGCTTCAGAGTACCTTGTAGCTTGACAGTGAGGGCACTCGGGATCTACAAGATCTGGAAACAGCTCCATATGGAAGATGTCCCTCACACTCCAAAGTAAGGACGCCCAGCACAGAGCTAAGAAATAGAACAACGTTCCCTCCCAAACCATGTCAGAAAAGAAATACATAAGTGACTCTTAAATTCATGTAGTCACTCTAGGATTCTGATTCACTATCACTTGTATTTTTTTTGATTCAGTGACAATGATTTGTGGTCAGTGTCAGCAGTTTTGTGGCAGGATTCCTTTTCTTTTTTTTTTTTTCAATTAAAAATAGCATCAAAACACAGCAGAAGCATTTTCCACTCACTCCTTACAGTCCCATTATTTGAAAACAGAATGTATTTTTTTTTAAGAAATTGCCATAGAAGTAACAAGTGAAAACCCATTGTGGTCATCAAAACCCGTTTTACTTCTTCCTTCTTGCTTATCTTCACTCCCTGAATTTACTGAGATTTCCTACCATGCACATTCCCATGTATTCTTACACATCTGATGGACTGGGGTCTTCACAGAATCCCAGAACGTTCGGGATTGGAAGGGACCTCAAAAGCTCATCCAGTCCAATCCCCCTGCCGGAGCAGGAACACCCAGATGAGGTTACACAGGAAGGCGTCCAGGCGGGTTTTGAATGTCTGCAGAGAAGGAGACTCCACAACCTCTCTGGGCAGCCTGGGCCAGTGCTCTGTCACCCTCACTGAGAAGTTTCTTCTCCAATTGAAGTGGAACCTCCTGTGTTCCAGCTTGTGTCCGTTACCCCTTGTCCTATCATTGTTTGTCACCGAGAAGAGCCTGGCTCCATCCTCGTGACACTCACCCTTTCAATATTTATAAACATGAATGAGGTCTCCCCTCAGTCTCCTCTTCTCCAAACTAAAGAGCCCCAGCTCCCTCAGTCTTTCCTCATAAGGGAGATGCTCCACTCCCTCCATCATCTTTGTAGCCCTACGCTGGACTCTCTCCAGCAGGTCCCTGTCCTTCTTGAACTAAGGGGCCCAGAACTGGACACAATATTCCAGATGCGGTCTCACCAGGGCAGAGTAGAGGGGGAGGAGAACCTCTCTCGACCTACAGGTCTTGCTACCTGTTATGGTACAGTTTATTTTCCCCACTATTACCACTCCAAATGCTTTGATTGTTACATGTCGATGTCAAAAAGTAGGAAATTACAAGGTACTTTGACTTAAAAATATTATTTTATTTAGATCTGATACGTATTAATGCCAACAGTGAAAATTAATGCATATAATAAGCCCATAAGACAATTTAAGTTACTTACAGGAGCAGGTTTTTTCTTAGTTATAAGTGGCAGCCTGGTCTCATAGTTCTGCTGTTTTAAAACAGCTTTATTACTGATGTCCTCTGGGTCAAGCATAATTTTCATATCTGTTTCCAGCTGATGCTGAAATAGAGAATATGCATAGTCTTAAAATAACTACTCTAGGACAGAAGTGTTCATAAGCAGGAATTGGCTAATGTTCGTAAGTTTGCAATATTATGATAAAAATTCATGTTATTTGACTATCCACACCTTTTCATTGTTTGCCCTGTGCGTGCCCTATTCACATACATGCTTTTGCCAAAATTTGTTCAATTAATTTCATTACCTGCTCTGAAATTTCCAAGTCTGTGCACCTTTAAGTTAAATTTTGAGTGGAAAGGACAATCAGGTTTGACTCATTTGATTAATATGGGTGATTTATGAATCCCATTTACCTGTGCCATAACAAGTGTTTTATACACACCCTATCTACTGGGATGGTGCTATATCTGCATTCTTCCCACAGATGACAGTAAGAGTCCAATCTACCTTGGCCATGTTTGCCAGAGACTTTAATTCAGGAATCACTGACCTGATGGACCACAGCAGCTTCTTTGGATTGGTTATAGCAACACAGATGGAGCACTTGCTTATAAGTAAATAATTTAAAAATCCTTATAGTAAGAAGTAGTAAAACATAGCAGTTTCTTAATGTCCTGTGTTACCTGTGTAGAATGGATTAAACTACTTTGGTAATAAAAATTATTATTATTTAAATCCTGATGGACAGAAAGACTTTTGAAGTTATAAGAAGTGTGTGTATATATATATAGTGTGTGTGTGTATATATATTTCTTGTTTTAAGAAGTACCTTAGTTTACACACAGAAGTATTCAGTTTATCCCTGGATCCGTATCAAGTGTAGCAGTACCTTCCCATACTTTTATTGCAATACCTTTGCTAACCAGACTCTGCATCCAACAGGGTTTAATTAACAACCAGTGCTGAATAAAGAAGAATTCTCAAATGGCAGAGACTAAGATATCACCAGAGAAGTCAACAGAGCTGAGGTAATTCAGAGGGGCTGGGGCCTGGCAGTGTATGTGCTTAATTCCCATTACATGGATACAGGAATATAAAAAAGCTCCCTTACGTAGTTAGATCCAACTAAACTTCTTTCTACACAAGAACTCTCTGCTGATATTTCTATTATGTAAATGTTGAAAAAGAATTTATGAGACTTCTGCTTTTTAAAAAATAAAATATGCCATAAAAAGTGTAAGAATCATTAGAGGTATATGTGAACTATTAAACAATTAAATTACTTTGTGAAAGCACTAAAAATGATTTAATTTATTTATCTGCACAATACATTATCTTCTTTTGCTAGTAATTACAAACAGACATATCAATGAGATGCTCATTTAGATCTGGGTTTGTAAGAACAAGTTATTATCCAAGCCAATTACTCTTTTACCCACATGGCTGCACAGAGACAGAAAGTTCAATTTTCACCTCATCAGTGATTTTGTGGTATTTATTTTATTACTGTAACACCACTGTACAGAAAGGAAACTGCTTGTGCTATTAAACAAGAATTGGGGAATAACTGAGTACCTTCTCAGTTAAAATTGGGGATGTTTCACAATGCAGGCTGGCAGTGAAATGATCAATGCTGGAGTGGCAGATTCCACCCAGGATAACAAGAATTTAAATGGTTAATAAGAAAACCTGATAAAAGTTACTTTGTCAGCTTAGATGTATGGCAAGTGACAATTCTACCTTTGCAGGAGCTGGGGCAGATGTTACCATGAGTCTTTTCCATCTGTGTTATCCATCCATCTATATTATACAAAGTCTTAAATGTAAGTTACACTGAACCATCTTGATGCAGAATAATAAAAATACTACAATATCACTGCTAATAGTGTGTTATTACTAATACAGTGCTCAGTGACAATGAGAATTATTGTGCTCAGTTATTAACATGGAGTACACTGGATTGTACAGAACAGGTTGACATTTCAGTACAGTTAAATGGTTCAAATCTTGTTCTACTTCCACACAAAATTCCTTTCAGAGTGGAGGGCATTTTTATGATGTAGTAAGCCAACAAACCTGATTTGCTATGTAATTCTGTTTTGCAGATGCATAGTTTCTAATAGAGTCCAATTTCTTTATGAATGGACTACATTATATTAATCTTTGAAACAATCTGTATTATCAGCAACTAAACCACTTTTCATGTCTAGCTATTTACATTATTTGCATATTTTAGAACCTCCTGGAAACATCTTTTCATTTACATCTTTAGTTTCATTAATGATGAGAGAATATTAACTTCTCCTGCGTATGGAGAATGTCACAGAAATTATCAACTTTAAAAAACAACAACAAAACAAACCCAAAAACCAAAGGTGCACAAGCATCAGTTCAGGTGTTAGCAGTTAAACACATGAAAAAATTATACACCTACAAGTTATGGATAACATCTTTTCAGCCATTGCTACAGAGAGGCTTTACAGTCACTGCATGAGGAAGACACCTGTTTATGGCTCTCGAGCTTTATTAGAAGAAAAAATCCAATTTCAACACATATCAGGGAATAAAATGAAGGGGGTATGGGCTGTGCTTCGCAGCTCCCTCTGAGCTAGATTTGCAGAGTCATATTTGGCTGCTGCTATGACTCAGAAATACTGTATGCCTAAGTAAACAATAATTTTAAGCCTATTCTGACACCTGTGGGTAAGCTATTTCCCATATGACAAATATTCTAGCAATGCCTACGTGAAAATAGCACCTGTGTTTATTTAACTCCAACCTTTTCATCCTAACTACTGCAAACACAAATTATGCTCAATTTCTATTCGTGCATGGTCTACTATGGACTGCAAAGCACAAGATTATTATGGTGTGAATTATTAATTTCTCTCAGAACCACTATGGGTTGAAATGTTGATTTCTTCCAAGCCTACATACCTGGAAATACTGTCTGCAAACAGAAGACTGTTCAGTTCATTAATATTTCCTTTGAGTGGAAAGGAATATTGAAAACACCAAAGCATGCTTAAAAAAAATCCAGAACTGTTTATAGCTACAAGTAAGGAAAAGACAGGAAGTAAGGAATTCTAGGTGATAATTTCCCAGCTGGATTTCACAATTATTTAATAATAAAAGCTTTTTATGTTGGCATGCTGGGCATGTAGAACAGCTGGCAAAACAGCACTGTTTGCCATTTTCTTTATAATGGGAAATTAGGGCTAGCTTGTGTGTCACTGGATATGTATTCCTAAGCAGATGCCACAGATATCAGAAATGAAAAGACAAAGAGAAAGTCAAGGCAGGACAGAGCACGTGCTCTGCTGTAAATTAAGCTCATTGGTGCACACGAAGAGTTGAGAGACCACAGATAATACAGAGTTTAACAGAGTAGCTGAACTCTGGTAATTTATTTTTTCAACAATATAAGTGTATTCACATAGGACAGGGCTAGAATACGGTCTGGGGAAAAAAAATCAGAGATCTTATTGCACCTTATCCATAATTTCAAAAGGAAGGAATATTTTAGTACTACTTTATACTGGAATTTCTTTTACAAAGATAATCAGCAATGTAATTGTTAGGCTGCTCATTCTGGTTATACCATTTCAAACAGCTTCAATTCCTAGCTTCTGTTAACAGTATTAGAACCATAGAGGGACTCTTATTCTCTCTCATTCAAAGCTCCCTTGGATTTAAACAGTAATAACCCCAGATTGTGACAATGGCTATTTTTCAATTCAACTAATTACCTTCATTTGTTTTTTAAGTGTTTGAGGAAACCACCTTGAACGCACCAGTCAAAATCCACAGTTTAGAATAAAAAAAGCAAAAATACCTCAGATACAAACATTTTGAAAAGGCTTTAAACGATCTTAGAAGGATTTTGTTTATGAAAAATAGCAAAATAGGGCATTTCAAGGAGAAGACCTGTATCCATCACAGAGATTACTACCCTATATATGAACAGAAGTCCCTCTCATAATTTGCCATATCTTTTATGCAAAGCCAAAAAAGAGAACCACTTTTATTCTCAGACACCGCAAACATTTCTATCTGTGCTCATGCTATTCCAATAGATAGTTCCATTTATTTTAGACCTGTTACTTGCAGAATCACAGTTAAGCATATGGTATTTGCAGGACTGGGACCTTAAAGTTGAACAATCACCTCATTTCAGAACTCTTTAACAATATACTTGCGGGAGATAAAAATAAAGAATAGAGGGCTTGTGGATGCACCATGATGAGATTGAAGTCCTTCCTGACTTAGATTTTATCCTGATTGGGAGGCTGGAGAAGGCTCCTATCTCTCAACCCACTTACTCTACTGAGAATTTTTTAACATTTTCAGTCATAGATGGTGTATTATCAGAAATGGAATGCATGTGGAGTCAGAACATAAGATTATGGGATCAAATGGTAACCAACAAGACACCAGTGTACTCATTTCACATGGTCTCTGATAGAATAAGTAGTATGGTATTTCAGACCTGTGAACCTTGGGAAACACGTAGTGCTGATTTGCTGTATCCCTGGATGGTCACGGGCTCAACGGGTACTCGTGGTAAAACAAGCTGTTTCTGAGAACCACCAAAATGAAGGCCCCTGATTTAGAAAGAAACAAACAGTGAGGTTTTTAAAAATTACTTTGATTTTATGTATTAAATGCATACTGCTTCCATCTGGTTGAGTCTGAAAGACTACATTTTTATTTAAATTTGCTCTTAGCAAAAAAAATAATCACAGGAGTTAGCAGAAGGCTGCTGTAGCTACTTAGAACTGCATTTACTTTTGTGTTTTTCTATTAACGTAAAATAAAACCAAAAGAGCAAATTATCAAAATAACCTCATCTGGGCCAATATTCCCATTTGCTTTACAAGACTGATACCACAGTTTTTCTGTCTTGCTACCTGCATTGTCTCTGCAAGAAAACAGCTGTTTCACTCACCATGTAGGGGGATCTTTTGAATGTACTTCTTTATTATCAGTAGAAGAAATAGTTAATACTTGTCTGTTTATAGCATTTAAATAATTTTCAGCATGTTTCTGTCAGAGGGAAAAAATAATGTTTAGACTATTACAAAGGCATGAGGGATATTAAATTTATTTAACTCAGTTAATTTAGCAATCCAGATCTTCGCTTGGCTGAAAAGTTGATAGGCTTTATGCTTCTGTCAGACTAAATCAGACTTTGGCTAATGATATGGGGCACAAGATCAGTTAATCTGACAGCCAAAAAAAGAAAAACATGGTTCTGAACTGTAATGTCTGATGAACCCCATCATTTGTTAATCAGAAAGGGATCCTGTAGAATGACAAATACATGGTCCCGTAAGTACTGACAGAGATCTCAGACTGAATTGTCTCCTGGATCTGCTCCATTTTACTTACTCTCTGCCCAAGTTCAGTTCTTTCAATTGCCGTTTCCAGGTCACTAATATCCACGGCTTCTACATTTCCTTTCAAGTTGGTATTTTTCACTCTGGCTTTCAGCTTGTGAAGATCTTCTTGAACCTGAAAAGCAAGTTATGACAAAAGTCATACCCATAACCAAATTCCACGGTTTTGCAACAGGGTTTAATTCAAATTAAATGCTGTCTAAAAACAGGAAATAAATTTATGCAACTTTCTATGTTTCTACACTTTTATAAATAAAAGAATACAAAGTCAATGACTTTAAAGCCACTGAACGACATAAAATCCAACGACAGTTCATTTTAATGAACTCACAAAGCAAAATCTCACAAAGCAAAGGCAATAAACTTCAGGAATTAAATCCTTCACCAAGGAACGATCTTGCCTTACACATTTCAAGCCCCTCTTTTGGCACAGATGGTTTAATTGTGCAGGAATCTCGGAAGTGTTAAGGAGGGACTGAAAGGTAGAGGCCGCCTGTGAGGAGATCATGTCAGCCAATGTCAAAAATGTACATTTACACTGCGTTAATAAAAGAAGTTCAAGGTCGCATCACGCTGAGAATCATAACATTAACACAGCCCAAGCCCTTCTCCAGAATTCGCCGGCGGCGCCGCAGCCGC